TCATTCCATCTTTGTAACTAACTATGAAATCTTCTAATATTACACAATAATTTTCCAATATCCAAATAAAAATAAATTCTGAGTTCTACCAGCATATCTCGGCTGCAAAAATCCAGATGATCATGAAGTGGAAGCAGATGTATGAAACTAATTCTAGTGACTGTCTGGATTTTTGCAGCCCAGATATTGCATGCTAAGAGTTCTAGCAAATCCAGATTAGTTTCTGGAAAATAGCTAAGAACATTAGGGCACAATCCTATGTTTGGATGGACTTAGCAACCATTGATTGTCCAAACCAACTTCTGAAATCATTGAAAAATAACACTGATTTTCCTCTCTTCCTCCCAGATGTTTACAGAATTCAAATAATAAACTGGTGATTATTATTGGTTTATTCAGTTTTGAAGATTTTCAGATATGGAAAGAAGCCCATATGAAGAAAAAAAAAGTCTTCTTTTGGTCAGTTTTGATACCTGCTGACTTCATAGATCCAGGCTGCTTTTTTGGCAACAGTACATAAGTGATTTGCCATTGCTTTAATCCAGGATGTATTTTCAACTTCCCAGTTGAATCTGTAGCCCTGCGGTTTTCTGGTAGTCACCCACCCATAAACGAAAAAGCCAGCTCTGATCCTGCTTATCTTTCTCAAAGTCAGCTAAGATCAACTAGGTGTGTTATTTGGCTGTGGATTTCATCTGAAAGCAGTCTTCTACTGAATCATGAATGTTTTACTAATTTAAAACGTTACTGATGCTTTTTGCCGCAAAGAAGAAGCATGAATGTTCCTTTACATATCAGCTTCTTTGCACTAAGTGACACCTTTCAGTCTCTATCAGACTGAGATGCTTTTGTTATTGCTTAGATCAATTTGGTTGACATTCTGTTCATTATACTTCTCTGGAGATCAGAGCCTGATTTTCATAGCTAAAGCAAGCACTACATGTATGCACTCTGAGTCCCATTATATCATCTAAGAAATACTCTTTCACTTTTTTAATGTGATTTTGAAGATAAACATCATAATCATTATAACACAGTACATAGAAAAAGCAAAAGGAATCACAACTTTGACTGGTGTTTTCTGGAATTTGGAGTTCGAGCTGGGAATCCAAGGTTCCTGGCTTAATGTTATAATATGTGCCAGATAAAGTGTTTTTTTTGTAAACCCACAGTTGATAGACCCAGAATGTTCTTGTAAAACATTTGTTTAATCTGCTTGTTGCTCTGCCTAATGTATCAATGACTACGAGATTGACTTTGCTAGATCTTCACCAAAATCTATCTATTTTGATTGTTAGAACTCTTATACGATATTATTTTTCCAATCCTTTTTCCTCTATTCTGCTGTCCCTGGGTATTGCCACATCTACAAAATTAATTGTTTCTTTTCATTTATTGTTATATCTGATGTGTTCTAGATGATGATCAGTTTCTATTGAAAATATGATAAAATGTTAACATTTTCAGCAACTTTCCCAATTTTGTTCCTTGATTAGAGTTATTATAGAGATTAGTTCCTTGATGACATATGTTTTCTGCTTGATTGTTTGTCTCCTTGGTAGTTCCTTGATTAGAGTATTGTTTTCTGCTTGATTGTTTGGGGTTAACCCCAGGGATGGGTTTTTTTGTCTCCTTGGTAGTTCCTTGAATAGAGCACTGTTTCCTGCTTGATTGTTTGGGGTTAACCCCAGGGATGGGTTTTTTTGTCTCCTTGGTAGTTCCTTGAATAGAGCACTGTTTCCTGCTT